TCCCAGCTCTCTTTGTCCTATCTTGTGAATTTTCTGGGCGAAGGTGGTTGCCAGGCTTGCCGCTAATAGTTCCGGCAATGCACTTGTGCCAAGGACTGTGTACGATAACTGTGAGATTTGCCACCAAGGGCGCCATTGCAAGTTGTTTTTTAAGGAAGACCCTGGGTTGTATATGGCTACCACTGGTCTTACATCCAAGGTTTCCTCTTTGTTTTCAGTCCCCCTTCCATTCGTGGTGGGTACCCTCAACGTTTCTCCCAACACCCCCACTTTGACTGGCTCCTTTTCAGAAACCATCGATGTAAGTCTCTCCTCTATATTTTGGCCCCTTTCTAATCTGGGGAGAGCAAAGTTGGTTGCTGTAGCAATCTTCCAGTCCTCTGTCTGCACATCAAACATCATGGCCAGGATTGTTCTTGAGGGTAACAGCATCTTGCTTGTTGTTACAGTCTTGTTCTTGAACTCCGCTTGTGTGCAGTCGTTTAAGGAGCCCACCGTGACTGTTGACACTCTCATCTCCTCGTTCAGGTCTGACAGCCTTTGGATTTGTGCTTTCAACATTGCAGATTGCAGCAGCAGCGTTTCCTTTTCATTGTTTTGTTCCTCCCGTTCTTGTTGTTTCCCTAGGTTGTTCTATTTCCTTCCCTCCTCACTTTGCCCCTAGTTGTTCCCCCTGTGTTCCCTGTTTTCTTTCCCCTTCTCTCTCCTTTGGTTTCCCTTCTTCCTCTCTTCCTCCCCTTTTTTGTTGTAGGTCTCTGGTAGCTCGGGCATCTTGTACCTGTCCTCTCTCCATTCTCCTTTTGCTCCTTGGCCCTTGTTCTTTCCTCCTCTCCTTTGAACCTTTGCCCGGTCCCTCTTGATTCGGCAATATTGCTGGGCATAATATTCTGTCATTTCCTCCTTTTCCTTGAGCGGTTCATATGGGTTTGCTGTGAGTGGGATCTCTTCTACCCTTGCCTTCACTTCTTCTCTCACATAGGCCATATGCAGTTCAAACATACTTGCTCTCTGTGCTTTCATTGTTTGGATGTATTCCTTGATTTCCTCGATGGGTCTGTTTTCCCATTCTTCCTCTTCTTGCCCACAGTAGTAGTCTTCATCAGCCTTTCTTCTGACGGGCTCTTCTTTGGTGATTTCTACTCCTTTCCTCTTTGTCCCGCTTCTTCTGTCCTCAAACATTTCCACATCCTGCCCTTGTGCCTCCCCATTTTCCGCATTGGCTTCCCTTTCTTGGCCTGCTCTTGAGTTCCCTTTGCGTGTGTATTGTACCACCGTGCTGTCTGGTGAGCTGTTCGCTGCTGTACCCAAGTGCGCTCCTTTCTTCTTCCCTTCTTTACCGCTTCCAACCAGTTCCTTTCAGCCAGCTCCCCTGTTTCGTCCAAGTCCATTTGGAGGTCCCTTAACCTCCCCTCTTCCTGCACTCTTTCTTTGTTTAAGATCTGATCAGTTGTGAAGATCTTAGTGGACTTCTTGCCGAGCTTCTTGGTCTGCCAACTGCTGTCAGATGGGGAGTAGATGTCTGGTCTTTGGGTTGGCTCCCTTTCCATGACCCATACCCAGTCCGGGATCTCTAGATTGTCATTAAAGACCCAACCTATGTACCTGGCATCCCTGACAAACCAGAAGCCAGGTTCTCCCTCTACTTCCTCGAGGCTGGTTAGCTTCAATGGTCTGTTTCTTGCTGAATCTGCATTCTTTGGGCATCTTGGGTCTGTTCCCATGTGTCCTCTTTGTCTGCATTTGAAGCACAGCGGGTTGCTTTTGGTGGAGACAACTACCTTCACTATTTGATCCCTGACTGCAAAGTGTCAGATTTCTGGTAGTTGTGGCAAGACTGCTCCCTGAGTGTTTAGGCATGCCTTCCGCTCGACCAGTCATTCCCTCCTCTTGCTCTCTCTCTTCTCTCTCTTCTCATTGTTTTTGCACTTCCCTTGCCCTCTTTTGGATCTGATAGCACATAAGCTTAGCAACTGCTCCTCCTTGCATGCAAGAGTTGGTAAGAATACAGAAAAAGGAGGTTAGAATGCTCGTAGTTGGAGCAGCAATTAGTAAAGACGGGAGAGGAACAAAGGAAAATAAAATAGTTGGCTTGTGTTTGACGGGCACAGCAAAGTCACTTGCCAACTCTAACCAACCTCATCCATCCATAATCTGAGATTAACTTGTCCTAATTAACTTGGGTCAGTGTTTGTGCAACTCAATCACCTTCCACCAGCCATTGCAACTGAAAAGAAAGAGATTGGAAGAAGAATTGAGACAGGGGAGGAAGAAGAATGAAGAAATGAAGAAGAAGAAGATAAACACAAGTCGGGACCAATGACATCCCCCCCTTATCTCACCTTCATCATCTCCCCCGGATCGCTTCCTCCATCATCTTATGATCGGTAATAATAAACAACAATGAATGCCGGTGATAAGCAACCAGACTGGTGCCCCCCAGAATAGAAGGGGCGTGTTTTTTTTTTTTTTTTTTGAAGGAAAAAAGAACCAGAATCAATGTCAGATTACTCCCCCATACTGCCAGCACACACAAGAGCCCTCCTTTCAGCCATGGCCTCGTTCTCCGCCACTAGCTATGGCGGATTCCCCATTAGGATCACAGATGTTCAAAGACGATGCAAACTCTACTGTTCCTCTCCCATCTCTATCCACCATAGTCACACTCTCGCATGAAGTCCCAGCTTAGTAGGTATCCATGTAGGGGCCTTCTGGATGCAGTGCCAACCAAGGGAGTGAAGATGAAGGTCCACCATAGCCAAAGGTGAGTCTTTTCTCTGGTTCACACCTTTCTCCTCCTACCTCTATTGTTTCACCATAGTTGGCAAGAGGTCCATCAATGTCACCTCCATGGCCTAGGCCTATCTCTACCACTTCCATACTACTACCCTCCAGTTCCACCTTCTCCTCCACGTGCTAAGCCAGCATCCCCCTCTGGGCGGAGCAGCATAATGCTCACTTGAAGATTGAATCAATCCATCCCACTCACTGGACCTACTGATATACTTTGGCTGCCCGGCCTTCAGCACTGCCCAGTGCTTCCCAGCCTACCCACCCTCCCTTGGGTGCACTAGACCTACCTGCAACTCAGCCTCAGGCCTCAACACTTATGACTCTTTTGCCTACTACTGGACTACCCACTAAGCCTACCAGGTCACAGGGCCTACCCGAGTCGCTGTATGATCCCATTGGGTCCCTAGCCAATTCTACTTCTGTCCCTGAGTGCTAGACTCCCCCCCAGCCTATCCTACCTCTAATTTCCATCCTGCCTCTGGCCATCTCCCGATTACTACCTTCCCCCTGTCCGAGGCACAGGCACGCACACACAGCCAACAAAGCACACAGACCTGCTACGACATGGGAAGCACACAACACATGCACGTTAGTAGTAGCTCGTACACACACTCAGAAGTCGAAGCAAATCACAGCAGAAACTTGGAAATATCATAAAACAGACCATCTCAGAGACTGCAGGAATATCAGATATCTTAGCGGGAATTCTCTTAAAATTGGGAACTTATGTTAAGTTATGTCACGATCTATATGGAAAGGTCCATTTGTAGATGCTTGTCTGTTGAAAAAGCATTCACGTGTGGCTCGCCAGAGTTTGCATTTATTTCCCCCCCCCTTTCCCGACTGACTATTCTTGGAACCACTTTGGTTTCCCTACACAAAATTTTCAGTGTCCCCACTAAGACGACTTTTCACCCTGGTCTTCTTTAGCAAAGAAACTTGAAAAACTTAATGTATGTAGGGTATGTGCCAACTGCACAAGGGATAAAAGATAGGGGGGGAAAAAGAATTGCCCGCCAAATAATAACTTCTGGTGCAAATGTAAGACATACCACTGCCTCCCGACCCAGGTTCAGTAGTCCCGAGGAGGTCGAAATCAAGAATTGGGAAAATGTGGCTCAAAGGCACTGGTGGTATCAGCTGATGTTGGTTTATCTGAAGCTCCATCTCGAAGCACACAGTGAAGCGCCCACCTGCCCTTCAGATGTCCCCCAAATCGATCCTGGATAGACTGTCGAAGTTTAATGACCTGCCGAGTTTGTGAAAGTTCTAGAGGAACTGTCTGACAGTCATGTTTTGGTGTTGGAGATGGACTAGTGTTTAGCATTAATAACAACATGGCTGCAAAGGAAAAGGCACATAACGTTTTTTTTGTGCTTCGTGCTGT